TAAGCAAAAAAAGTTAGCAGAAGCTAAAAAATTGCAGATAAGGGGAATGTTTCCTGGATGAATTAAAAATTCCTCAGAAGCTTACATTTATTCAATTTTTGGTTCAGAAAATAATATTGCTTGACCAATTCTACTTTTCATGCCTAGCTTTCAGAGTTTTAAAAAGCTTTTTGAAAGACCGTTACTTTCCTATACCTCTAGTAGGGTCTAACCCTATTTTGAGCATATGCTTTCCTAGATAACACGGAAAAAAAACCCAAAACACTCAAAGCATTGTATTTTCCTGAAAAATGGTTTAAAATAGGAATCATTCCACAGAAAATACAGCTACACAGGCAGAGCCACAGCTCACATCTTTGTATGCAGACTACATTACTTATTATGTTAAACAGTTCTGCCTTCTTCCTCTTCCTACTAGGGGAAGGCTCAAACTGGAGATATCTCTACAAATGTGTATCTGTTTTTATGCAATAAAGATGGAAAATTTAGGGGACCAGATAATGAACTGCAGCGTTTTTTTCAGTGGGGGTTATGATGGCTTCTCAATTTCATAAGCAAAGAGGCACAGATCCTATCAAATATTTATTCCTGCTCCTTGGTCATACTGTTCATCTTCTAAGAAAACAATTTGTAAGAGAAGAGTATTTGGTCCAATGATCATGAATTTTGTATCAAAGTTATCAGTCCATAGTTTTAATGCTCAAACAGTTGTTCTTAGTGTTCTCGGCTAATTGGAGAAATATTTTCCATTTAATTTAGAAAACCTGTGATTTCTATGACAGCCTCAGAAATAGTCTTTTAAGAAGCAGGGCTGTTTTCCCCACATCAGAGGTAAGGGAAACCCTATGGTCCAGCAGCTACAGAAGCAATTTTAGGCTGGATAGCATTCCCACTAGTTGGCAGTTTTCTGTGTGCTTTGCAAAAGGGAGTTCCTAAAAAAAAAACCCCAACCAAAAGTAGCGTATGCTCATGTGTACTCAACACACGAATAGGAAATACACTGAGGAAAAAAGGGTAAGGAAATTCAGAGTAAGGGTTGAAACTCCCTCTCCATCAAATGGAGTAAAGTTGTTACAACCCCAGGTGAGCATTATTGCAAGAGAGCTAATGAAAGCATCCCTGTGTCTGACATCTCTTTACTGCAGCATCCCTATCGTCGTGCAGGATGGAGCTATGCGACTCCTCCATACCTGCGTGCTCCAGCCTACACAAGTAAGTCAGAGCATCCAATGCTATCATCTTGTACCATCTTTGTGACTCAAGTTGAATGGGGACGTGAATTACTAAGGCACTTGGCTTGAGATGGTGGTAATGGGAAGCTCAGTCTGAACCAGTCACTCCTTCCTCCCGCTTTGCTGGGGTTGCTGGTTGCTCTCTCTGGGTACGGTGGGGGAGCCTGGGCCTGAGCAAGAACCGGAGCTCAGCAAGCCATTTGGCAGTCTGCTCATGCCCTGCGATACTTTGAATTTGGCGTCTGGTCACTTGGCTAGCAGAGTTAATGTTATTGCAAAATAGTGCAGTGTGAAAAAAAGGGCTGTGAAAATGTATGACTATTGATTTGGTAAAGAAAAGCGAGCGTATTGGTTAAATACATACTCTGGTATGCATACTTTTGTGATAACAATCATTACTTATCCCTGAGACATTTATGGCTTCTTTAGAAATTTTATTGTTGTATAAATTCATACTTGGGCACCTTATAAAAGTAGAGTTTTGACAGCGTAATAGTTCATAAAGAAAACACAGTTTCAAGAACTGGACTACAGATTTTGTGGTTTGCCATCTTAATGCAGTGCCACTCAAAAAATACCAAAACCAGGTTTCGAGACCTTGAATGGCCTTTCATGATATGAAACCAGGCCTTCTTCCTTCCTAAAAGCACTCTTTGAAAGTGGATCATTAATTTGATATCAGGTTAATCCAGCTGCTTCCTCTCCATATATACATTTGGTGAATTTGAAAGCCTTTTGAAAACATTACTAACAGAAAATGCACTGTGAAATTCAGAAGGTTTCCAGTGCACAGAATTTCAGCTCTGCAATTTTCCCTCTCAAAGTGCCACAAGAGATAATGTATTAATCATTTGCCAAATTCCTATCTTCAAATCAAAGCTGTTTATTTTTTGTTATTTAGTTGCAAAAGGACAGAGAATGTCTTTTATCACTTTCTAATATATTTCATACCTGTTTAAGATAAAAAGCAGATGAGGCCAAATGTTCAGCAAATTAGAGGAAAAACATTGACTTTCATGTTGTTTACAAGGTGAAGTTCAAACTTGCTAAAATATTTTAAGGTAAAAATATTGTCATTCACTTATATCTCGTAAATAGTCCGGGCAGACTACCGTAACAAGATGGTTGCATATAGTTTTGAATAATGTATTAATAAAGCCAGTTGTAAATTGTGACGGTGGCTGTGAGGGATAATTGTGAATCTTAGGCACCAACACAGTAATAAGTATTAAAAGGAGCTGTGGCTCAAAAGATTTACTACTGTACTTCTAATTTGTAGGTAGAGTCTATTACAAAATAATAATAACCTGAACTGAAAATCCACAACAGTGTTCATACTTAATCAAATAATGCTGCACTAATTAAGTTTGTCACGAAAAATTAATTCCTTGGAAAAGCTGTTTAATGTTTACAAAAAGGCATTACGAAGACAACTTCTTAACCTTACAGCATTTTAGTCACCACTAATTGTTGAGTTCTGCGTGAAACAAATATTGGATATTTATGGGAATTTCTTATACCTTTTCCACAGCGCTCTAAAGTGAAATTGCTGCTGGTAAGATCCTATTAAGCTTACCTGAAATATAAGCGACGCCAGCAAAAAAATGTATTTGTGAGTTTTTAGGTACGTGTGGTTCTTGTGTTAGGATCCTTCAAAGAATTTTTTTTTTTTTTTTTTTTTTTGCTTATGCTCCATTTACAAAGGGGCAAATGATTGAATTTGCTTCACTGAATTGAACTTATACAGCTTCCTGCTGGGTTCTGGGGAGCATTTATGGAACACCACCTGGAGGGCAGCTGCTCTTTTCTCCTAGCCCTGAATATCATTAAATTTCAGCAGCAACATGACGCACTGTAGAAAATTTTGTTTTAAGGCTGCACTCTTCTGTGCTGTTGTTGTCAAGAGTAGAGAGAAGCGGGGGGGCATTTCTGGAAAGAGAGAGCAATAGATTTCATTCCTTGTTGGCAAGTGCCACAACCAGGAAAAGCAGAAGGACTGGAAGTATAAAAGAGACCCTTTTTGGGGGGGGGGGGAATAAAAAAAAGAAAAAAGCCACTAGGAAGACATGCATTTCAAAATAGTACAATATCTTTGTGTAAATATGAGCACTTATGGCCCGTGCTGAAGCATTCACAATTTAACTTCATATTTGAGCTGCAGAAGGTCTTCACTTAAAAAGGAGAGCAGTTGCTAACCTTATCTTGCACATGTGGGTGACACTGGAGCTGCCCTAAGAACTCATTTTCTTGTAACTATTTGCTTAAGCATTTCACTACCAGATTAAGCCTGAAGACAACATCGCAGTGAAATGCTGTGAAACACTGCTTTATGCCTGCGCCTTCCAAAAGGGGCAAGTAACTATGGCTCAGACCCTCTATGGGGTTTACACATTTTGAACGTTTTTTTTTTTTTTCATTGCAGTTAAGAAACCTTTTGTATTAAGAGCAGAGATCAGAGGGGACCAGTTAATGGCAGCTCACCTCTATTGCTGTGCTTCAGTTTTTTTCCCCCCTCTAGTTTCCAGCCTGTAAGCACCAAACCCAATATGAAGAGAGGACTGCATTCCCCTGGGAATTACAGCGTATGGCCCAGCAATTTGTGTGCTTCTTGTATTCCCTGAAGTCTACATCAGTCATCTTGCCGATGCTAACAGGAAGCTGGCACAATGATCAGAAGCAACAATCTATATACAGTAAATGTTATCAAGGTGATTTATCTGCTCAGTGCCTTGTTATAAAAATTCAGTATTTTTCACGGGAATATGACAATTAACTCCTAGTTCTGCATATTTTGACGTCTGCATTTCCCTCCTTCTTTCCATGTTGCACCTTTTTTCCTCACCCTCTTTGCCATTTGCATCAGCTCCCGATTCTCCTCTCTTTCCTCCTTAGTGCACCACTAAAATGCCTAATAGCAACAGTAGTGTGGTCTCCAAAATGAGCCAGTGTTGTACAATCGGTCCCCAATTAATATTGTTGTGTGTTAAGAATGATTGACATTTTCTTCTCAAAGCAAAATCCAGAAATATGTGATTTTTCAAAATCATGTTACTGGAAAAGCATCACTTTCAACAGCAATGAGAAATTACTGTTACAAATGAGAAATTCTTGATAAAGAATCATAGAATCACAGAATCATTAAGGTTGGAAGAGACCTCCAAGATCATCGAGTCCAACCGTCAACCCAACACCACCATGCCCACTAAACCATCTCCCTAAGCGCCTCATCTACATGTCTTTTAAATACTTCCAGGGATGGTGACTCAACCACTTCACTGGGCAGCCTCTTCCAATGTTCAACCACTCTTTCAGTAAAGAAATTTTTCCTCACGTCCAATCTAAACCTCCCCTGGCGCAACTTGAGGCCATTTCCTCTCGTCCTATCGCTAGTTACTTGGGAGAAGAGTCCGACACCCACCTCGCTACAACCTCCTTGCAGGTAGTTGTAGAGAGCAATGAGGTCTCCCCTCAGCCTCCTTTTCTCCAGGGTAAACAACCCCACTTCCCTCAGCTGCTCCTCAGAAGACTTGTTCTCCAGACCCCTCACCAGCCTCGTTGCCCTTCTCTGGACACGTTCCAACATCTCAACATCCTTCTTGTAGTGAGGGGCCCAAAACTGAACACAGTATTCGAGGTGCGGCCGCACCAGTGCCGAGTACAGGGGCACTATCACTTCCCT